AAGTGCCAGGCCTACCTACCAAGCAGGTGTCGAAGGTCATTGCTGGGAGAGGGGCCAGCTGGCCACACTGAGCAGTCTGGAGGGGAGGGGTGGTCCTGGAGGGAACACAACAAGAGTGTGCTAAAAATGCTTAATCTGTTGGGAAAGCTTTGGGTGGCAGAGCAGGAGTCCACCTTGCTCATGGAGTGGGAAAAGGGCGTGGAAGGGGCCACACATCTCCATCTCAGCGGTAGGGGCAGGATGCCACCAGGGAGTGAAGCTGACCAGCAGTGGTCCCAGGTATCTGCTGTTGGGTCCTGTATTCACCTCATTGTGGCATGTCACCTTGAGTGACGGTGAGACTCTGCTAGTGCTTAGGGTGGAAGGTGAGGATCGTGTTCTGGAGGAGAGGGACATCTAGTCATCCCAGGGTGTGCTGGCTAGCTTCAGCGCTCAAGATCCCCATGTCCCAAAACAGCAAAGGTAAAAGCTGAGGATGGGAGCTAAGAACATGAGACTTCGGCAGTGACTGGGCTGGCGTTTGGTACTTCTAGCTAGTCTGGGATAGCCCTGGCATTTCGGTGTCTCTGAGCAGGATCTGATTCTTGTAGTCTGTGCCCAGGCCTGGATACTGAGTAGGGAGAGCATTCAAGAGAGAGAGAAGAAAAATAGGCAGGAAAGAGAGGACAGTGGTGAGTGTGGGTTGGTACTCACTCAGTGGGGCTTGGACTGACTACTCCCCTCTTTCTCACGTGTGCCTCCTCTTCAGGCCCAGTGCCCGAGTCATGGCACTGCCTCGGACACTGGGGGAGCTGCAGCTGTACCGGGTCCTGCAGCGCGCCAATCTTCTTTCCTACTATGAGACCTTCATCCAGCAGGGAGGGGACGACGTGCAGCAGCTGTGCGAGGCGGGTGAGGAGGAGTTCCTGGAGATCATGGCACTCGTGGGCATGGCCACCAAGCCCCTCCATGTCCGCCGCCTACAGAAGGCACTGAGAGAGTGGGCCACCAACCCAGGGCTCTTCAGCCAGCCTGTGCCTGCCGTGCCCGTGTCCAGCATTCCGCTTTTCAAGATCTCTGAGACCGCGGGCTCCCGCAAAGGGAGCATGAGCAACGGTCATGGCAGTCCAGGGGAGAAGGCTGGCAGTGCTAGAAGTTTTAGCCCTAAGAGCCCCCTCGAACTTGGAGAGAAGCTGTCACCGGTGCCTGGGGGACCTGGGGCAGGAGACGCCCGAATTTGGCCAGGCCGGAGCACTCCAGAGTCTGATACTGGGGTGGGAGGAGAAGAGGAAGCTGGTTCACCCCCTTTTTCCCCACCTGCAGGGGGAGGAGTCCCTGAGGGAACTGGGGCTGGAGGTTTGGCAGCAGCCGGGGCCGGGGGTGCTCCGGATAGACTGGAGCCAGAGATGGTGCGCATGGTGGTGGAGAGTGTGGAGAGGATCTTCCGGAGCTTCCCGAGGGGGGATGCTGGGGAGGTGACTTCCCTGCTGAAGCTGAACAAGAAGCTGGCGCGGAGCGTGGGGCACATCTTTGAGATGGATGATAATGACAGCCAGAAGGAGGAGGAGATCCGCAAATACAGCATCATCTACGGCCGCTTTGACTCGAAGCGGCGGGAGGGCAAGCAGCTTAGCTTGCATGAGGTGAGGACCCCAGTCTCCCCAGATTGCTCTTGGTTCCCCAGCCTCAACCTGCTCACCTCTGAGAATCCACATGCTCCTCAAATTTGTTTCATTGCCCCTGGACCAGGATTCCAGGCCCTGATTCCCTCTCCCCCCACCCCAGTTCCAGCTGCTGTGGTGCTTCCCTCCTCAGCTGAGGGGGGAGTAGAGACACAGGTGAGAGCCCAGCTGTCCAGCTTCATTCTACTCAAGACCTCAGAGGAGCAGAGGAAGCCCAGGGCATTCCTAGGAAGCTATGCATGCTGACCTAGGTCTTCCCTGGGAAAACTTCTGGGTAGTGTCTAAACCCAAGCAAGCCTCTGAAGGGTGGGCCTCATTTGTCTGATGGTGAAGGCTTGTTGAGGGGCTCTGGGCGAGGCAGTAGGGAGTTAGGATTCTGACTGTTCTGGCTGTTGTCTCCACAGCTGACCATCAACGAGGCTGCTGCCCAGTTCTGCATGAGGGACAACACGCTCCTACTGCGGAGGGTAGAACTCTTCTCCTTGTCACGCCAAGTGGCCCGAGAGAGCACCTACCTGTCCTCCTTGAAGGGCTCCAGGTGAGATCCCTTCTCCAAGTCCTTCCTAGCTTAGGATCCTGCGAAAGAGCTGGGTCACATCTTAACCTCCACTTGAGGCGCCTCCAGGCCTGCTTGCCACCAACCTGCATGCTCTAGTTGGCGAAGTCCACTTGTCTGAGGTCTGGTCCCTCCCCATCTATCTCAGGTCCCCTCCCACCCCCAACAACGGTAGTACCTCAGCTGAGATTCCTGCTCAGCTAGGTCTTCTCCGGGACCTTGAACTCATGCATGCCCCTCACGGGACTCTGTGCCCTGCCCATCACATGTGCTTCCCCAGCCTCATCTCCGGTTCCTCTCCGTTTTTGTAGGCTTCACCCTGAAGAATTGGGAGGCCCCCCACTGAAGAAGCTGAAACAGGAGGTAGATTTTCCAGGCTGCACACAGGGCGTAGGGCAGACTTCCCCAACACCCTCCCTTGCCGAGTTCTCATTTCCCCATTGGGACATCCACAGGTTGGAGAGCAGAGTCACTCTGAAATCCAGCAGCCTCCCCCAGGCCCTGAGTCCTATGTGCCCCCATACCGCCCCAGCCTGGAGGAAGACAGCGCCAGCCTGTCTGGGGAGAGTCTAGATGGACACCTGCAGGGTGAGTGTGCATCAGAACACTTCTCTCCGCTGGGGAGAGGGTGGAAGGTGTGGGAGAAGGGAGCCAGGAGGCAACTCCCTGGAACAGAGTTGGGAGGCCTGGCTGGATGGGGACAGAAGGGCCTGAACCTGTGGGTCTGGCTTCGTGGTTGAGGGTGGGGGTTCTGTTGACTATAGTCCCTTACCTGACCAGTGCCCATGCCCACAGCTGTGGGTTCATGCCCAAGGCTGACGCCGCCCCCTGCTGACCTGCCTCTGGCATTGCCAGCCCATGGGCTGTGGAGCCGCCACATCCTGCAGCAGACACTGATGGATGAGGGGCTGCGGCTAGCCCGCCTCGTCTCCCATGACCGCGTGGGCCGCCTCAGCCCCTGTGTGCCTGCAAAGCCGCCTCTCGCAGGTGAGGCAGCCAGCAGTGCTGTCCCCAAGCACCCTTCCACCCAGGCCCCATGTAAGCAATCCTGGTGTCCTGGGGCCAGGTGGGAGGAAGAGGGATGTAGTCACCAGAGAGGGTAGTAAGTAGGGTGGTCGGGGCTCCAGGGGCTCCAGCCAACCAGGCCTTGGCTTGAGAAGAGGAGGACCCTGCAGGATTTTCCCACCCAGGAGGGTCTGTGAAGAGGGAGCTGGGGGATCAGGGAGACAGAAAGGAGGATGAAGGGGAAGAGGAGGGTCACCAGGAAGAGAAGCTCGGAGAGAACTTAACACCAATGCAGAAGGGTGGAGCAGGCTAGCATTTGGGATGGGGCTGCCCAGCCCAGAAGTGGAAGAGCCCAAAGGGGGGTGCTTTGTGTGTGGATGGGGGAAGGGGGAGTAGACCAGCAAAGGGCTGGGCAGCGGCTGGGCTGAGAGTGACGCAGCAGACAAAGCCACCAACCCTAGCTTGGTATTTTTAAACTGTGTGTGGGTGGGAAGTGGGGGAAGGGACTGGAAGAGGGGCTCTTCTTCGGGAAGGAGCTAGGAGGCTGGTTTCCTGTGTTCCCACTGACGTGACTTCTAAGAAACTTGGGGGGCATAGTTGGGTGGGTGGGGCACCCTGAGGGGGGCCAGAGAAGAGTAGGGGCTGCAGAGTCTGGGGAGGGGGGAGGGGGAGAGGTCAGAGCCAAGCCGCCCCCACAGCTCCTGACAGAACCAGAAATTCCAGCAGAGCAGAGGCGGGAGAGACAGAGAAAAAGAGACACACACACAGAGACAGGGAGCTACGCACAGCCAGAAAGAGGAGGGGGTGCGCACACTTGGACGTGGAGCCTCCCGTGTACACATGGTGGGCAGGAGGCAGTCACACAGTACATCAAGTTCATCTTTGCAGCTTTCTCTAGTCCTGCCTCTGTTCTCAACCACTTCTCTCTGCAGCATCTACCCCACAGCCTCCTAACCTATTCCTTCTCCCAACAGAGTTCGAGGAAGGGCTGCTGGACCGATGTCCTGCCCCAGGATCCCATCCAGCTCTGGTGGAAGGTCGAAGGAGCAGTGTGAAAGTGGAGGCTGAGGCCAGCCGGCAGTGAGGGATGGACTGGTACCCTCATACCCAGGCCCCCGGACTTCTGGCTTCCACAGATCCCTACACTCTCCGTCCCTGGCATCCGGTCACAACCCTGGATCCTTCCTCTGTTCTTCTCCTGCCTCCCCATCTGCTCCATGGGCACAGAACTATGGGGCTTCAAGCAATAATGAGGAGGGGCCTGGCGAGAGGACACAAGGAGGGCGCCTGCTGCCCCTCACCCTTGCCCAGGGCCCCTAGGGGCAAGGACGCTGCTTCCAGGGCATCCGGGGTTCTCCTTTCCCTAACACGACCCACTCCCATTCTCTAGTTTGAACCAGTGGTGTGAGCAGTTGGACTTGGTTTGGACATGGGGGAAAGGGAGACTTCCCGGGGAGGTCCAGCGGCTAACGTGGAACATTGCCCCCGAGGGGTGGACCTGCTTCTCCTCCCCTCTGCTCCCCCATTTTTGTGCTTCTAGTTTGTTTCTTTAATTTAACAAGTGCTGCAGTTTTCCCACTCATCCCCATCTTTCCCCCAAGTCTTCGTGCCCTGCCCTCCCTGGCAGGGGTGGTGGTGGATGTGGGGACCCCTTCACCAGCCCCCGTGGGAGCCCTGGGTCGGACTCAGTGTCTCCCTAAGCTAGGGGCTGGCCCATAGCACCTGTCTGAGCAGTTAGAGCATTTTTCTTTTCAGATTGTGTACAGTAGATTATTTATTTTGTTATTTTGGAATAAAGTTTATTTTATGGCTTATGATCTATGACCCCCCACCAAGAGGGAGACAGTGGTTTGGGGGCGGAGGGAAACTGTCCGTGGCTGGGAGACAGAAGTGAAGCAGTGGGGAGGGCCCCTAGTACGGGGAGAGGACCACACACCTGGGCCTGGCCCCAGACTCGCACCGCAGCTTCCAGCGGGGTCGGCAGTGTTGTCACAGCCACACACAGGCTCACCTGAGCACACCTGGGCTGGCACGCGTCCGAGGCCAGCATGCTCACCAGTGCCTTTTGTGCAGTGTCTCACACTTCACAACTTATATGGTCATAGGCAAGATTAGATAATGTTCTATGTGGCTGTATGACTAATGTCTGACATCTGTATGTTAACGTGTCTCAAGTACACACTTTAACAGAACTGTACACCAGGACACAGCCCGTGTACTACAGCACCATCGTGCACAATCGGAAGCCTCCATCTGACTGTCAGGAATCTGGTGCTGTTTAGGATTTGTTTTTTAATCTGGGCAAATCCCACACCAGTAACTAAGTGTACAGGCCCCTCTCCTCCTCCCACCCAGGGTCTCCTGAACTGCTTCCTTGTCCCGCCAGGGCTAGGACCCAGCCTGTCCCTGCCCCCATCCCCAGCTTCTAGTGCAGGTGGGTGCACATGTCTGCCTTTCTCTACACGCGCATCGTGGGTCCTGGCTGGGAGTGGGAGGAGAAGCCCTCCGTGCCTTAACCTGGGCTCTTGCCTAGCCCCCTTCCTTCTCAGCCCCGTCTCTCAGGGAGAGCTATGTGCTCATTCTGCGTGTTTGGGCATGCTGGGGCGTGTCTCACTTTGGAACCCGATTTTCTCTTCCAGTATTGGAAGGGAGAGGGCAGGGGTGTGTGGCAGGAGAGAAGACGTGGATAGGCTCCACCCACTGTGCCTTCTCCTGGCGAAGTCTTCCTCTTCATGAGGGAGTAGGTGGGGGTAGCAGGACACCCTCCCCAACCGCTGCTTGGCAGCAGCATGGGCAGGCTCCAGAGCAGGTCCATTGGGGTAGAAAAGCTGACTCGCTGAGCTCCCCCTCCAGCTGGGATTACCAACTGGGGTTGGGCCTTAGGTCCAGATGGGACATGGAGATCACAGACTGCCCATAGGGGGAGGGCTGCGGGAGGGGCTGGGCTCCCAGAGACTCTCTTCCTGATTCCACCTGCCCCTCCAGGATGAGCTTAGTGAGGTCCTGTTCAGTGGGAGGCAGCAGAGGCGGGAACATGTCTTCACTGACCCTGCCGGGAGGAAGGAGGGAAGCCGTGGGATGGGCTGGGCACCCACCCCTGTAGCCCACCCTCAACTGCCAACCCCAGGCTGCTGCTCACCAGGTGCCTTGAGGGAACCCTCCCACTTGCTGGCTCAAGCAGCTGTCCTCCATGGTCACATCCGGGCAGAGCAGGGGCTCGGGGCTGGATATGGCATGCTCCTGAGGCTGGCACAGCAGCAGGCCCCTGCTGGGACCAGGAAAGCAAATGAGACGTTGGTGGGTGGGGGTAAATCTGGGAGTAAGCAGGGCCCCAGGGGGTCAGGATGGGGGATGCCACTCACTGGGGGTGAGGCTGGTCAAAGGGCAGGTTTATCTGGTTCACGTTGGAGGACATAGGCAGGCAAGGTCTGCAAACGGAAAGGAAGGCAGTCAGAGAAAGGAAGGCTGGGCAAGAGCTGGGTGTTGCAAAGTCAAGACCACTGAACAAGGGAACAAAAATTTCAGCTACTGATCTCGACTGCATAGTCTAGCACAAGCCATGTCTATGGCCTGAGCTCAGTCTTCCATCTGTAAAGTGTGTGTTGGGGACTGGGAAGGGATGGGGACTGGATTAGCTAATTTCTGATGTTTATTTGGACTCTGAACTTTGGTAGCTCTAAGTCCCCCACCTCAACTCCTGGGAGGGAGATGTCACACCTGGCTTAAGAGTTAATAAGTACTTGAGTGTTACCCAGGAAACAGCAAGTGTGTATATCGCTTCAAGGCCAAAACAGATGAATAAATGAAAATGAAGACAGCAGATAAGTGACTGTGGATACCAGGGGCAGGAGAGAGAATACTGACCCTTACACACATAGCTCCTTCTATAAGCCAGAACTTTGCTCAGCTTTACACGTATTATTAACTAATTTAGCCTTCACAGTAATTCTGTGAGGAAGGTATTATTCTTCTCCTCCGTTTCACAGATGAGGCACCAGAGTTAAGTAACTTGCCCTAAGTCAGTTAAGTAGCAGAGCTAGAAGCCAAGCCCAGGGAAGTCTGTCTGGGCCTTAACCCCTGAGCCTCAATGAAGTGAACAAAAGAGACAAAGCTTTTCGCTGCCCATTTCTCACAGTAGAGGCCCTCCTAACAAATTTGAATGCCCATCCCTCTTGCAGCTGGGCATTCCCATCCCATTCCCAAGAGGTTCTTCACTTACTCTTGGAAGGCTGGCAACACGTTGACTGATTCTTCCCGGGGGAGGGCTTGAAATGAGGGGATGGAGTGAGAGTGTGGTGGGTACACCTGGGGCCTGGGGAAAGAAAGCAGAACCCTCTGATGCCAGCCCTTCTCCTGGGCGCCCCCACCCCCTGCCTAAGAACGAAGACTCCCTTTCATGGAAGGGAAACTTCCCTCTTTCAGCCCCCAGCGCCAGCTCTCCCAGCTGCCCATGCTGAAAGTCCGCCTGTGCAGACCATTCCCATGCCCGCCTCTCATGCTCCTTACACCATATCTGGGCTGAGCTGCATGTTCATGGAGTCAGGGGCTATTCTAAGGTCGTAAGAGGGCACCATGGTAGGCATCTGGGGCTCTGGGGTGGACAGTGGCTGGTCCCTGGAGGAGGGAAGGAGGTATGTGTGACCGACTGATCGTTGATGCCACCACCCCTGCCTGCAAGTAAGTACCAGGCCTGGCCCATCATCCTCACCACACTCACCTTTCCACAGTCATCTTGATGGTAGCTGGGACATAACCCCTGCCATCCTTACCTATCTGTTCATCTGTCGTAGAGAAGAAAGGAGAGCTATGGAGTGCTCCGGGGGGAGGGAGGAGGGAAGGTGGGAATAGCGAGCATGGCAAGTAGGAGAAGTGGGGCTACGAAAATGGGGGGAGAAGACAGGGATGGCACACAGTGGGCAGGGAGGGAGCAACGGGGACCAGGGGGGAGGTGGGCAGCAGGAAGGAGTCAGAATGGCCAGCTCCAGCTCACGCTTGTAGTGGCTCCGGAAAGCCTCATCCTTGGGTTTCTTGGGGTAGAGGTTTTTCAGCTGAGAAAGGTCCCGGATTCGGTCCCCCAGGGAGCGAATGGACAGGTCTTTGGCAGAGAATGGCTGGATGTTCTCTATCTGTGGGGAGCCTACAACAGGAATGAGACCCTGAGTCCCCTCTGTCCAGATGTCCAGATTTTCTTTCCCTTTCCCAGACCCCACACAGAACTCACTCTCAATCTACCAAGTCAGGAGGAGAGAACCTCAAGTGGGGTCCTGGGGAGGAGGACCCACTAGTCTCTATCCCCACAGAGCTTCCACTGAGAAAGTGGAAGTTTACACCACAGAAGGGAAAAGTCAGACCTAAGAAAGGACTTTCTGAAGATCAGAGTTGGCATCAAGGAAGCCAAAATATTTCCTTCCCAAAAGAAACCTCACAGGGCACAGGCACAGAGTCAGAGCACTGCCTGGGGTGGCCTCACCATCCGGGCCCCGGATGACGTGGGCAATGGTGATGCCTCCGATCTCGGAGTCGCTGAAGCGAAGAAGGAATGTTCCGTCAGGCTCGTTGAGAAGAAGGTTGGTGACGTACTGTTTGCTGATGAAGCCAATGATCAGCCTGGCCAGGATGCAGGAGAGGATGGGGATGGAGGCTTTGGAGATGGCCAGGGAGCTGGAGGTACAGCTGCTCAGGCCACCTGGGGCAGGGACTCACCTGTCTGACCAGTAGCTTTTGAGACAGCGTTTGGTGAGGTCCAGGACGCCATCAAACCACTGCCAAAAGGTGAAGCCACGACCCAGCAGGATCTCCTGTGGGGGGTGGGGGCAGAGTGAGCACGAAAGGGCCAGAGCTGGAGCCAGGATGGGGCAGGCACTGGGCTGTGAGTACCCACATGACAGAGTCACAAGGCAGAGGGACCAAACTGGACCTAAGATCCCATCAATGAAAACAGCCAACACTCATTTACCACGTGCCAAGCATTATTCCAAGCCCTTTCCATAAATGAATTTACCTGATCTTCACAAGGCTACAGAGATAGGTCTTATAACTATCCCACCTTACAGATAAAGAATGGAAGCCCAAAAAGTCAAGTAAGTTGTGCAGGTCCACACAGCTGGTGAGAGGTGAAGCTGGGATTTAGCTCAAGAAGTCTGGGCCAAAGCCCCTCATCACCACTATGCTCCATCACGCCCAGCCCTCCCCCACAACGAGGCCTGAGGCCTGGTGGAGGAAGAGTCCAGAGGAGGCGGCTGCCTGGCGTGAGTGTCCTGCTCCCTTTGCTAACACATTTCCTGGTCCTGTGGGCTTTTCCTTCTTCCTTTTTTTCTAAGAGAGTGGTACATGACTGCATTTACCCAGCCATTGGTCAACCAAAACACCCAGATCTTTTTCCCTGTTCTTTTAACACACTTGGTTCTGAGCCATCTTATTTTGAAGGGCGTAAAATATAGTAGCTAAGAGTAAGAGGGTTCTGCCCTGGCTGGTGGGGCTCAGTGGATTGAGCACGGGCCTGTGAAGCAAAGGGTCGTCGGTTCGATTCCCAGTCAGGGAACATGCCTGGGTTGCAGGCCAGGTCCCCATTAGGGGACACATGAGAGGCAACCACACATCAATGTTTCTCTCCTACTCTTTCTACTTCCCTTCCCCTCTCTCTAAAAACAAATTTAAAAATATTTTTTAGGGACTTCCACCAAGATGGAGGCATAGGTGGAAACACTGCACCTTCTTGCACAACCAAGTTTAAAAACAACAAAGTTTTAGCAATAAAAATGCAGCCAAACCACAGAAAATTGAACTATACAGAATTCTGACAACAACGAACCCTTCAGCCAAACCGGTAAAAGGGGCAGAGCCAGCAGCAGAGCGGGGTCGGGCAGAAAAGATCTACCGGACAGACCCGGGCACGCGACCCAGGCGTGCAGGCAGCCGTGGGCAGATCCCAGGAGTGGAGAAGCAGGCAGACCCACTGAGGGTGCAAGGCGGTGGACCCCCTGAGGGCTGAGGGCTGACCATGGTCACACATTTGTGCGCAGATAAACCAGTGAAGGAGCAAGCAGTGAGACAGACCACGCAGGCCCTAGCAGTGGGAAGCAGCAGAGGGGACCGCTATTGTCCCTCTCTGACCCCACCCCCACATACAGTATCACAACCTAGTGACCTGGGTGACCCCGCCCTGGTGAACACCTAAGGCTCTGCTCCTCATACGTAACAGGCACAAACAGATCAAAACATGGCTCAAGAACAACTCAGAGCCCCTGAGCTGATAAATCTAAGTGACCAAGAAATAGCCAAACTTTCAGATGCACAGTTCAAAACACTGGTGATCAGGATGCTCACAGAACTGGTTGATTTTAGTCACAAATTAGAGGAACATATGAAGGCTAAACTAATTGAAATGAAGGGAAATGCACAGGAAACCAATAGTAATGGAAAGGAAACTGCGACTCAAATCAAAGGAGTGGACCAGAAGGAGGAAAAAAATGACCAAACAGAAAAGGATGAAGAAACAAGAATTCAAAAAAAGGAGGAGAGGCTTAGGAACCTTCAGGGCATCTTTAAACGTTCCAACATCCGAATTATAAGGGTACCAGAAGGGGAAGAGGAACAGCCACGAGTGGAAAACATATTTGAACAAATAATAAAGGAGAATTTCCCCAATCTGGCAAAGGAAATAGGCTTCCAGGAAGCTCAGAGAGTCCCAAAAAAGTTGGACCCAAGAAGAAACACGCCAAGGCACATCATTATTACATTAGCCAAGATTAAAATGAAGGAGAGAATCCTAGAAGCAGCAAGAGATAAAGGGACAGTCACCTACAAAGGAGTTCCCATCAGACTGTCAGATGATTTCTCAAAAGAGACCTTACAGGCAAGAAGGGGCTGGAGAGAAGTATTCCAAGTCATGAAAGGCAAGGACCTACATCCAAGATTGCTCTATCCAGCAAAGCTTTCATTTAGAATGGAAGGACAGATAAAGTGCTTCTCAGATAAGATCAAATTCAAGGAGTTCATCATCACCAAGCCCTTATTATATGAAATGTTAAAGGAACTTATCTAAGAAAAAGAAGTTAAAAAAAGATGAACAGTGAAAGGACAGCAAACTCACAGTTATTAACAACCACTCCTAAAACAAAAGCAAACTAAAAGGACAGCTAGATCAGGAGCAGAACCATAGAAATGAAGATCACACGGAGGGTTAGCAACGGGAGTGGGAGGAGGAGAAGGGGGGAGAAGGTACAGAAAATAAGTAGCATAGACAGTAGATAGAAAATAGATGGTGGGGCAAGAATAGTATGGGAAATACAGAATCTAAAGAACTTGAGACACATGGTCATAAACTAAAGGGGGGAATGGTGGGGGAGGGGTATGCAGGGTGGAGGGGACTGAAGGGAGGAAACAGAACAACTGTAATGGCATAATCAATAAAACATACTTAAAAAAACAAAACAAAATATAAAAAAAACAAAAAATATATATATAATTGCCTTACTTAACCAAAAGAATATATGTGTGTATGTATATATTTAAAATGGGTTGGCATTCAATCATGACTCCCTAAGTTGTATGACATTCTTTAATTATTGATAGGTAGTGAAGAGCAGAAGCTTGCTGAAATGTGGCATGGGTGGGTGAGATGTGAGAGAAAATGAGAGAGAGAGAATGGAAGAATGACCAACAGGCGATGACAGGTACTTAGATACACACCCCCCTGCAAACAGGTAGACAGAAGCCTAATAAGCAAACACACACACTCACACTCCATAAAAAAATTTTTTTTAAAAGATGGGGTTCCATCCCAGCCATGACACTCATCCACTGGGAGGCCTTAGACAAAGTACTTAACCCCTCTGAGCATCAGGTTCCTGGTCTACAAAGCAAGAATCATAATAACACCCACCTCAGATGTTGGGAGGAATAAATGAGGTAAATATGTAAGGTGCTAAGCACAGTGCCCCACACATAGTAACCTATCAACATATAGGTGCTGATATTATTATCATATGTCCCTGTGGGATTTCATCCTTTTTTTTTCTTTTTCCTCTTCACCTGAGGACATGCCCATGATTTTAGAGAGAGGGGACGGGAGGGAGAGAGACAGGGAGAGAAACATCATTCCAACCAGGGACCAAACCCGCAACCTAGGCATGTTCCCTGACTGGGAATCGAACCCATGACCTTTTGGTCTGCGGGCTAACACTCCAACCAACTAAGCCACACTAGCCAGGGCTCACCCTGGTTTTTGCAATAGGAACTATTTTCCCATTTGGGCAAAGTTATTTTGAGCTGTGTTTACACACAATCTGGGTGAGTCATGCAAGGCACTGGTAAAGAGGGAAGACAGAGGCCCCATACCAAAATCTGAGAGATGCCAGAGAATGCATCCCCTGGGCTGGCCCCCGAGCTGAGGGGCTTTCCTGCCTGGGCCATGACAAGGCCTTCCTGATGGACATGATGGGGCCTGGTGCAGACCCCAGCAGTCAGTCCCTAGGCAGAGAGCGAGGAGTCCCCGAGTGCCACAGGGATGAACAGCGTGGGGGTAGGCGGTCCAAAGGGCAGGGGAATGACCTTGTTGAACTGTGACCAGGACACAGAACGGTGCTGGAAGGCCTCTATGCTGAGGCTGTTGTCGTTGAAGATCTTCTGGGCCAGGAAGAGGAAGTGCTCTGGTAGTAGCCCCTGGTTGGTTCCCACCTCAGCCATGAACTTGAGGTTCAGAGTCTCACACATCTTCTCCCAAGGCACCCGCTCAGCCACCACAAAGGGCACACGGTCCTGGGGGGAAGGAGAAAGGAAAAGGTTCCTCAGACTATCACCCCCCTTATCCCTCAGGAGGGGCCTTTATTCTTCCCACCTTCCCAAGGCCGAGCCTCCTAGACGTGGTCCCCAGAGCTCGCTCACAAAGATGGTGCTTCTCCAGCAGTTTAGAGTGCTACAACATGGTAGTCAAGACTGGTATGAAAAGAGGGCAGAAGTACGAGGGTGGGTCCATAAGAAGGTAAGGGTACTCCATTTGAACATGCCTGTCAACCCGCCAGCCTATACCTCACCCCCCTTGTTAGAGCCCACCCTGCCTCCTCCTGGTTCCAAGCCTTCCTCACCATCTCAGAGAAGGCATTGTCCCACAAGATGGTGGCTTTGGCATTGTTGTCTTGGTTGCCATGGACGATGACCACCAGGGGCAGAGATAGAGCCTAAAGTGGGTAAGGAGCGGAGGTTCTTCTCAGTGCGGCAAAGGGCTTGCTTAGGGGGCTGGCTCTGAGGGGGAAACTGTTGAACTCGTGCAACATGGTTAAAAACTCATGGTGCATTATCGAATGCTTTCTGTTTTTATTTTTTAAAATTTATTTATTTATTTAGCTTTAGAGGGGAAGGGAAGGAGAGAGGGAGAGAAATATCCATGTATGGTTGCCTCTCGTGTGTCCCCTGCTGGGACCTGACCTGCAACCCAGGCATGTGCCCTGACTGGGAATCAAACCGAGATCCTCTGGTTCGCAGGACCACACTCAATCCACTGAGCTACACCAGCCAGGACTCAAATGCTTTCTAAACCTCAACTGGGGCCTTAATGTAGAAAAGTGTTTATGAGTCAGTGCTATGGAGCAGACCTCCAGGGTTCAAATGCCAGCTCCAACACTTAGTGCTATGCGACCTGGACAAATGATTCAATGTCCTTATCTGTAAACAGAGGCGAGTTATAATACCCTCCTCATGTGTTACTGTGAGAACTGTGTGTGTGTGTGTGTGTCACTTAAAACAGTGCCCTGGCCCTGGCCAGGTAGCTGTTGGTTAGAGCATCGTCCCAATAAGCCAAGGTCATGGGTTCAATCCCTGGTCAGGGCACACATAAGACTCAACCAGTGAATGTAAAAATAAGTGGTATAACAAACCGATGTTTCTCTGTCTTTCTCTGTCTCTCTCTAATAAAAATAAATTTAAAAATTCATCCCTGGCTGGTGTGGCTCAGTGGTTGAGCACCAACCTGGGAACCAAAGGGTTGCTGATTCAATTCCCAGTCAGGGCACATGCCTGGGTTGTGGGCCAGGTCCCCACTAGGCGACCACACACTGATGTTTCTATCTCTCCTTCTCCCTCCCGTCCCCTCTCTAAGAAAATAAATAAATAAAACATTAAAAAATTTTAAATAATAAATAAAACCGTGCCCCAGCCTACAAAAAGGTGCCAGGTGTGCCGCCCCTTGACTCCCTGCCATGTGCACTCTTGCTCTTGCTTCCCCTTGCTCATCCTGGCATGAGTGCCAGGCACAAACCGTGTGGGCCCATCAGGAAGGAGGGAGGCCCCAGGGCCCGGTGTGTGGCATGGGGAGGCCCTGGGGCCCCCGACTGGGCGGAGCTGGGGCCTGGTTCACCTGGAGCTGGATGGGGAGTTTGTTGGGGCCGAGCATGAAGCTGGTGGAGAAGAGCACAGCACACTTCTCCTCAGTGACCGATTCGGTGCCCTTCCGCTCACACCGCTTGATTTTCTTCAGAAGCTGCAGGATGGGGTGAGGGAGAGCAGGAGTGAGGACTGAAAGCCCTGGGCTCCCAACACCCTTTCCAAGGAGAGTCCCGCAGTCTGAGGACCACTCCCGCCTCCCCAGTGCTCCCTGAAGCCCTCACCAGGTTCTTGAACAGGGCGGAGCAGCAGTTCCCGGAGCCCATGTTTTCGAAGGGCACGGTGTTGTTGGTGATTTCCCCAGTGCTTTCTCTGCCGGGGAAGGTCAGACAATGAGTGGGCCGGGCCAGGCGTGGGGAGGAGCTCGAGTCCACAGGTCAGGGGCGTGGACGTCTGGCTCCTTATCTCCATCTCCGCTTTCCCTGCTGGGTTCTTAGGAGAGGCACCCCATCTTGGCCAGATCAAGATGTCCTGCCCACTCCAACACCGATGGGCGCCTCCCTCCCTCTGCCTTGGTCATGCACCCCTCGGCCCTCCCTCCCTCCTGAAGGGGTCACTCCCCCAGGCTTCTTTGGCCTTCACCACCCCCAGAGGCCTTCTCCAGCCCCAGCTTACACTCCAGCCCCGGGCCCCTGGGGGCTGCTCAGCTCCCTCGCCTGCTTCTCGGTCACCATGTCAGCCCTGACCAGTGGAAACTTGGCTGGGGTCCCCAGGAATCGTGGGCCTAGCAGAAATCGAACTCCTGCCTGAAACTTGGTCTGAGTTTTCAGAACCTGCGGGGGCTGCTTCTCCACCAGGAAAGAGCTGAAAGTGAGGAAAACACAGGGGAATTAGTGGCTGGTTCCCTCCTCACAACTCTAACCCTCTTCCTCCCTTGGGGTTTGCTCCAGGCCAGGCTGGGGGTTCACAGGGCATACCTTGTGACCAGGGTTTGCAGGACCTCATCCAGCCGGCTAATCAGGGTTGCTCGGGTCTTGGGCTCAAGCTCCCCACCAGCTGCCCCCACCTCCTGCTGCAGCTGGAAATAAATGTCCACCAGGCTTTCACACCTGGGGGCAAGACAGGGGTCAGGAAGCACAGGATTCAGGCTACCTGCTCTAGCCTAGATGCCCTGTCCCTAAACCCAGGAAGAAAAGAGGACATTGTGTGTGGAAGGGTGGGATGGGCGGTGGGTGTGGCCACAAGGCACCTGGGCTGAAAGGGTTCTGGGACCTGCCTTGGCTTTGGATGGGAGATTCCTTTTCAGTGCTTGCTGTCCCTATGGAAACCCAGCTGCCTCTCCCCCTGGGGCTCTGACACCTGGGTCAGCTGCCAGTATGCATGGTGCTTTTGCTCAAATTAAATGGTGCTCTTCCCAACGAACCAAATAGAAAGCAGATTCCCATTCCTCTGGGCATGGGGCTTGCAGAGAAAAGCGTGGGTTGAACAAACTCCCACTTGCGCCCCCTTGGCCAGGCACGCTTGCACAGGACGTGGCCTGAACAATGGTGTGCATAGCTCTGCTGGTACTGGCTTCTGAATCGTGGCCCACTGCAAGGCCCTCTCTCCTGGCTTTTTCTCTCACTCCTGTGGGTCCTCCAGCAGAAACAGCGGGTGCCAACTTCCAGCCCATTCCCTTCCCTGTCAGCCCTGCCCCAACCTCTCCTGTAGTTGGGTCAGGTTCTCATCAAACGGTGCGCCATTCCCTGCCAGCTGCTGCTGCCGCTTCCAAATCTGGATCCTCTTCAGCACCAGGGCTTGGGCTGCCTCCAGCTCTCCAACAGTCTCCTGAAGCAACGTGACCAGGGCCTGCAGGCAGGGAAGGCCTGAGCCGGGGCCACACACTGCCTCCTCACCCGGCTCCTGAGGATAGGACTGTCTGTCACCTCTCTGGCGTTCCCTTACCGCACCTCAGTCTGTCTCTCTGAGATCGAATCTCCATCACAGAGATTAGATTTTAGATCCCTCAAAGACTGCATTTTCAGCTCAGTCTCCACCTCTCAGTCCATTACTCACCTCACTTGACCCAGTTCCATTGGCGGGAGGTTCTATCAAGCTGTGCAGAGACACTGAGGGTTGGAGCAGAAATCAGGAGTGAAGAAAGATTTGAGGTTCGGTCAAGGGTGAGATCCAAGAGGGGATCGCTCCCACATACTACCCAGAAACCTCTTAGGGCCCCAGGCCCAGGTCCCCACCTTGGCCAGCCTCGGCCTTCTGCTGCAACGCTTCTCGGAGAAGGCGGCTTTCCCCCATTCGGTGTCGTAGCCTCTGCAGGGCTGTGTTAAACTTGAGCTCCTCCTGTTTCCAGTGGAAGGACATTGGCAAGTGGCGGAACTGCACGGGAGGGACAGACATTAAGAGTTGTAACACTGCCCATTGCTCTCTACTCGGCATCCACTCCCTGAAGGGGTGCTGGCTGCTATGCTCTGCAGAAAAGGAGACGGGCCACTTCCCTTGCTTCCCCTTCGACAGTTCTTCCTTGCCTTTTTGAATCTCCCAAAGATAAGCAGACTCAGCTCCCTACTCCCTGCTCTTCTCCTCAGGCCTCACTACCCCCAGTCCCTCATTTGAAGCTTCCCTGAGCTTGTCTTGGGGTTCACTCTGACCATAGGAACTACTTGAGTCATCCTGAGCCTAGAACACCGAGGCTTTCCTGAAGTTCACATTCCTTCTAGTTTCTCATGGCTCAGGCTAAAGTTCCAGAGAATTGAGTTGGGGTAGGAGGTGGAATATCACAATACCTGCTCCATAACAGCTTTTTTCTCCCCTTGAAGTATCTGTCTGAAAATGGCTACCAGCTTCAGAGGGTCCCTCTGATATATGCTCTACAGAAATGAAGGGTGATAGGCAGAGTTAGCCTGGTTATTACCCACATCAGTCTCCCTCTCCAAACCACCGCTCCCAGAACGGGCCTCAATTCACACACACACGCACACACTGAAAGGCAACACAACTGAGGACTCCAGAAGTTTTCATGCATTTGCATGCTTTTAAAATCTAATTTGCATACTAGCTAACAGCTAACCACAGGAACACCAATTTGTTTCCTGTGCCCAACCAATTTTCTTACAGCATCCAACGCTCGCCCCAGCTCCACTCCAGCCCCACTGCAGCTTTGTCCCCTCTCCTCCTGCCCCCACCTCCAGGGTGTTGATGTGCTGCAAGACGGCGCTGCCCTCCCCTGGCTTCCTGGCTGAGGCCTGAAGATGCTGGACAGTGGCAGAAAGTAGGGTGCTGGCCATGTTGCAGCAGAAGGCATCTGAGCCAACCAGGAACTCCCTGTGGGAAAATCAGGATGGGCAGCTTTGGGTGAGGGCTTCATCAGCTCTACTAACTCTTCACCCCACAGTAAACGGCTCAATGGCTCCTTCGTCTACGACTCTCCATCCAGGCCCTCTGCAGCCCTCATCTTGCCTCTTTTTCACCAATCTCCCAGCTGTGATGGGAAGTGCCCTTGCCCCAGCCCTGACCTCCCACCTCTCCGGTTCAGCCTTCTAAAAGATAGGGGACTCCAAGTGTCGACACAAAATAGTCTGGTTACACAGACTCTCTGCTAAATCTAGGCTACCGCATGTCAGATAATGGGTCCCAAGTCCTGAAATAGTGCAGAGAAAATCTGATTAAAGGAAAAGTGGGTGGAGAAGGACCTGGGGGATTAGCATGGGGCAGCAGGAACTCACCAGGGCTGGTTCTCCAGCCAGTCACCCAGGAGATGTCGCAGGTGATGGGGGAAGTCAACATAGAGCCGCTGCAGTTTTTCTGGGGGCATCTGGGAGACCAGCCCCCACAGAGACATGATCTGGGGCTTGGAGGGCATCTGGAGGAAAGGAACAGGCCACTCTGAGAGGTGTCCAAGAAAGGTGGCCTATGTTCTGGGGCAGCCAGGGACCTCCTGAAGACAGTCCTCCCAGAGACTGTCCCCATCACGTACAGCCAGACCACCTCACACCAGGGACATTTTGGGTCAGTGCCTGAAACAAAGTGAATTTTCAGTAGTAGACACGGGGGTGATAGGGTGTGAAGAGCTGAGCTGCAGCCAGAGGAGCGGGGAGTTAAGGGACGGGGTGGGGGGCACTGAGGAAAGCTCTCTGGAAAAAGGCAGAGGACTTGCATTGCAGCTTTAGACCTGGCTCTGGTTCTGTGGGCAAGGAACCTCCCCTCTGTGGACCTCAGTCTTTTCATCTATAAACATGATGCTTGGAGAGGGGCAGAAATTTCCCAACTATTTATTTATTTAAAAAGATTTTAGCTCTGGCTGGTGTGTCTTGGCAGATTGAGCACTGGCCTGCACACCAAAGGGTCGCTGGTTCAATTCCCACTCAGGGCACATGCCTGGCTTTTGGGCCAGGATCCCAGTGAGGGGTGGGGGGAGGGGAGTATGAGAGGCAACCATGCACTGATGTTTCTTTCCCTCTCTTCCCCTCTCTAAAAATAAATAAATAAAATCTTTAAATTTTTATTTATTTATTTATATTTAAAGAGAGGGGGTGGAGGGAGAAAGAAAAGAAGAGAAACAGCCACGTGAGAAAAACACTGATAGATCACCTCTTGTACACACCCCAACCAGAGACAGAACCTGCAAACCAGGCTTGTGCCCTGACCGGGAATCGAACCGCTGACCTTTCACTTTGTAGGACGACGCCCAACCAACTGAGCCACACTGGTCAGGGCAACTTTCCAAACTTTTTAAAGCAATAGTGTTAATCTGTGGAATCCCAATTACATAACAGGTATGAAATTGGAGATTCTCCATTGAAAGCTAGTGTGGTAGAGTTGGAATTCGACTGCTTCTGCTTGCCTCTCTCCACCTTCTGACCCCACAGGTGTCCCTGAGAAATCTCTCCAAATTCCAGGGTCACATGAGATAATTTGAAAATTAGGCAGCTAGATGGTGAAGAAGAGGCTGGTAGAGCAATAACAGCTACCATTTATTGAGCACTTACTATGTTCGAGGCGTTACACTAAGCACATGATCTCATTAGAGCCTCACACAGTGTTTTAAATATATCATTATCTCCTTTAAGATACGAAGAAACCGAGTCTCAAGGGGTTCTCTAACTTGCCAAGGCCACTCAGCAGCATGTTCAGAAACCAGGATTTGACTCCAAGTGGGGATTAACCACCACACTGTGCTCAGCAAGAAGGTGCGAGAACAGGGAGGGGGAGCACAGGGAGTGGGGCTGATAAGCCTTGAGCAAAGAATCTAGAAGAGGAGGAGACAGAGGCTTAATTACGAGGCCAAGGACAGAGAATAAAATAGGGAGAGGGGAAATGAGGAGATGGGAGAAGTAGGGGAGAAGGTTATGACCCCATTTCTGAGTGAGCTGCAGAGTGGGATAAATAAACCAGTGGTTTCCCAGGGGTCTCTCAGTTCATGTTTCTGGTAATGTACTTCTCCCAGAGAGGAGGGAGAGGAAGGAATGGAAACTCCCTGGGCCTCCCCCAACTCAGTAACCCCAAATCCTCCTGATGGGCTTTAAGCATCTCCTTCCTCCTGGGACTCCCAAAGGGATAGAGAACAGAGGGGCCCCTTCTCTGGAGACTCCTGCTTCAAGACCTCCCCCCCACCCGCCAGTCCCCCCACCCCAGTCCTTTTCTCCCAAAATAGAATCCTCTTGCTTCTTGCCCCTAACCCTGCCCCCACCCCCAGCTACTTTCTCCCAAAAGCAGAATCCTCTCCCCTCCTGCTCAGCGTCCTCCAATAGGCCTTTTTTAACCCCACCTTGGGGTGGGGCACATTTCGGTCTGTGTTTCAAATTCAAGGGAGGACTCCATTCCTTCTCTCTCCCTCTCTTGTTTCTCATGGAGCTAAGAATTTGACCCCCTACCCCTATCCTACTGAGAACCGAGGCTATTCCTAAGTCACAGGCAGTCCCCCTTGGTCTATAACCCCGTGCTGCGTGACCAGCCTCCTGGCCCTCCCTGGTTTCGAACCGCCTCCCCAGCTCCGTCCCTGGACAGCAGGAGACCACACTTTCCCCCACCCCCACCCAACGACGAAGCTGGTCGATCGGTTCGTCAGTGCAGGAGCACCGTCTGCGGGACGCACCCGCGAGACTGGCACGGACGCGGACGCGGGAGCCGCGGCGTGAGGGGGTGGGGCCCGTGCTCCCCTCCCTCCCGGCAAGAAAAAACCCAGCGCCCAGAGTTCTCATCACCCGCTGCCTGGCCCAGACCTGATCTCCTCTGCCCCTCCATTCCCGAGTCCTCTGACCGTGGGACCACAGGATCAAAAGTCAGAAGAGCTGCTCAGAGCTGCCCGACGTGTGCGTGTGTGGCCGTGGGGGCGGGGAGGGCGCGGGGGGCGGAGCCAGCGGCACGCGGAGGGTTAACCTCGGGCCGCCGGGAAATCTCCGCGTCTACAGCGGCCGAGCGTGGAGCAGGTTTGAGGGGGAAATTCCCCCTCTTCTGGGGCACCATGAGGTCTGCATCTGGAGCCCGCCCGTCCCTCGGTTCCCGAGCAGGAACCTTCACGGGGCAGAAGGATAGGGCCGGTCGGCCCACTCAGCCTCTGGCGGCAACCTCCCAGGGAGGGGCAGCCACTTCCCCCGACACAACACCCACCTCGCCCTCCTCCCCAGGCTTTAGAGTCACTGGGGGGACGGCGGTGTGGAAAAAGTGACCCAGGCAGGGGAGGTGGTAGTGCTGGCCCTGTACCCATCCCTCCCCCATTCCTCTGAGATTCGAAACTGCCGAAACCCAGTAGGACCAGCTATCAACACCAGTTGAAACAGTTTCTGGGGGGCCATCTGCCCCACCGTGGGGAGGATCCCGAGAGGCCCCGGGCTAATCCCCCCCAACCCGTGGCACACACACACCTGATAGTCAGGAGGCCCCCACCCTCCCATCCTCGGAGGTATCCCCTCACCTTGGCAACCCCTCTGCTGTCTTCTCCCTCTTTCAGCAGGCACTGCAAGGCCATAGGCTTCTAGCTCTGTCCAGCGAGTTCAGGGCTGGCCTTGCCAGCACCCGCCCCCCAACACCACCACCACCAAAAAGAAAAAGTACACACACATACACACAATCCTCTCCCTGTCCTTCCTCCTCAGTGTAAGCAGTCGCTGCCCCAGCCCGCTGTTTCCGGCTTCTCTGTCTACCCAGGTCCCTCCCTGGAGCTCTGACGACACAGAGAAGAGAAAGTAGGCTGGAGGAGGAAGAGGAAGAAAGTGTGTCTCCTGTGCCAAGCGGTGGGGAGACAGGACGGGGCTTAGGGCCCTGGGGCCTGGATGGAGGGGAGATTGATGCCCACCTACTCTTTCCCCCCCCAAAGTGATCAACTTTTCTCCAGAAAGTCACCTAGTGCCGAGCAGAGATGTGCAGTTCCAAACTGCCTCTCCCATACTCAGATTTTCGCAGAGGTCCTGGCATTTGGGCTCACGAGGGGCCTGGGCTCCTTGGTAGCTCTAGGAAAGCAAATCCCTCTGGGCTCCGCACTCCCTCCAGCGGAGGACCCATCGAGCTGGAGAGCTCGATGACCTCTGGAACGCCTAGTTCCCCTCGTCCCTTCTTGGTAGGGAACGCCTTAGAAATCTCGTGACCACTGATGGGAGGGAGAAGGAGGGAGGGGATCCCTGGCTCGGATTTCTGGAAGACTGCAGGGTCCGTCAGAGCTTGTGGGAGTGGGCACTAGCTGGAGTTTCTGCCTGCGGATTCCCAAGCGACAAGCTGGAATACGAATCTTGGTGAAGTTCCTGTTTCTGGGGTAAACACTGAGACACACCCAGAAACAAACACACATGCACAACTTCCCCAGCCACAAGACCACACACACACACACACACACACACACACACACACACTTACACATGTGCAGGCAGGCTCACAGGCATGTCAGCACTCAGAGCCACATGCGGCCACAGGGAGACACACATATAAGCCTTGCTCGCCTTCTGAGTTATCATCGTAACTAATGAATAGTTTCTGCAGGTTTTTCTGGCAGAGGCCAAGAGACCCAGAGAGGCCTTCATACTCCCAAACCTGAGAAACCTTGTGTGTGGGAAGGGTGGTTTCTGGGGGAACAGGGTGGTGGGAGGAAGTTTCTCCGGTGTTCCTAAACAGGGCAGGGATGAGGGGGCCAAAGCTAGGCCTATGCTGCCCCCTGGTGTCTGGACTGATTCCCAGAACCCAGCTCCTCCCCCTTCCCCCCACGTGGATGGGCATGTGTGTGCAAGAATGCACGGATGTGTGGGCTCAGCCAGACAAGAGAGGGTAGTAATTAAGAACTGGGACTCTGGAGACAGGCTGCTTGGGTTCAAATCCTGCCAACACTACTAACTGCATGATCTGGGCAATTTATTCTTTGTGCTTCAGTTTTGTCATCTGTAAAATGGAACAAATAATAGTCTTAAGGTTATGTGAGTAAAATGTGATAATACATATGAAGGCTTAGAACAGTGCCGGGCACATAGTAAACACTAGGCACTATTGTATGGCCCAGAATAAACCAGAAATAAGAAAGGCAGAAGAGCCTCCATTCTACATAGGAATCCCTGGTTTGGGGGGTAGTATTAGCCCCACTAAGACAAAACCTATTAGAGGTATGTGTGTTCATGCATTTACTATGTCTTGGAGGCAGGGAATAGAAGAGGAGGGAAAGTGGGGGTGGAGATGGCCAGCAGGGAATCTTTCCTAGGGCTGCGGTGCATGCACACAAGTACTCACAACATGCACAGTTTGTATGTGCTCCCAGGTGCCCACACTGCCTGTAGACGTTCACAGACAGTGGCTGAATTCGGGCTTCTTTATCTAAGGGTCTCAGAAGGTCCAAGTTCCCCCGAACTTTTGCAAGAGAAGGGGAGGAGTAAATGCAGTCTCAAACTTTGCCTCCTTTTAGGGGTAGGTAGGTAAGGAACAAATACTGGTAGGAGAACAGTATTTATTGTCATCCTCTCCAACTGAGTGCACTGATGGGGATGTTATAATGTCATGGGAAGAACCCAGAATTTATAGGCAAATCTGGCTTGCGTCTGATTCTATTTTGTGTCCACCCCTTTAAACAGAGACAATAGTTACAAGTACTTTACACAACCTAGGCTAGGGAGGTATCTAGGGTGCAAAACTTATGGAGGTACTCATCTTCAGGCTGTGAAATTGCAGGGTTAGCTAGACTTTGAGCAACGACACCCCCACTCACATGGCCCTGTGAGTGAGCGCCATGATCGCCTCGCCTCTTCCAGGTCCTACCATCCCACCAGTGGCTGTGAAGATTGCACAAAAGAAGGCACAGGGAAAAGAACCCCACTGCAGGTTGTAACCCAACTGAGTCACAAAATCAGTCTGGTGAGTGTATTCATTTGCTAGGGCTGCCATAACGAAGCACCGTAAGCTGAGTGGCTTAAGCAAAAGAAATTTATTGTTTCATAGTACTAGAGGCTAAAAGTCCAAGATCAAGGTGTTGGCAGGGGTGTTGTCCTCAAAGGGCCATGAGGGAGAGTCTGCTCCAGGCCTCTCTCCTTGGCTTGTAAATGGCTGTCTTCATGTTCACACGGTGCACCCCTGAATGTGAGCTTATCTCCAAATTTCCTCCTTTTTTCTAAGGGCACCAGTCAGACTGGATTAGGGCCCAACCTAACGACCTCATTTTAACTTAATTACCTCTGTAAAGACTCTATCTCCAAATAAGGTCACATTCTGATGTGCTGGGGGTACCTCATATAAATCTGAATTTTTGAGGAACATAAGAATTCAACATATTAGTATATGAATGTTCAAGAGACATAGTTCAACCCCTAACAGTGAACATTGATCATCACTTCTTTATTTTTTATTATTTTATATATTTACTGATTTGAGAGAGAGAGGGAAAATCATCAATTGGTTGCCTCCCATACATGTCCTGACTGGAAACTGAACCCACAACCTAGATATGCATCCTGACTGGGAACCAAACCTCCCACTTCTTGGCATATGGAACTACGCTCCAACCACCTGAGCCACGCCAGCCAGGGATGGGCTAAATGATCGCCACTGTTTAAAAACCAACTAGAATAGGATAGAATAGAATAGGATAGAATAGAATAGAATAGAATAGAGTAGAGTAGAGTAGAGTAGAGTAGAGTAGAGTAGAGTAGAGTAGAATAGAATAGAATAGAATAGAATAGAATAGAATAGAATAGAATAGAATAGAATAGAAAATACCAGAAGGCATCACACAAAGAAGAATGAGTAGTGTCTGAGTTCTAGGTCTTGATGTAAAAGACATTTTAGTGAAGGTTTGTGTTTTTTTTAAGACATCATTTGCATGTTGGTTAACATCACAAATCACTTTGCATTTCTTTATAACTGTTTTATGGGTTAACCCTTCTACTCCAACAGGAACATAAGTTCCCGGAGGACAGGGAGTCACTGCCATGTGGCTAGAAAAGACATGTTTTTTCCTTGCTATTAAACACAAGAACTACCACCATTTACTGAGTGTTTACTGTGTACCTGACACTGGGCTAACTGTTTATTTTTTTAAGACTTTATGTATTTATTTTCATAGATAGGGGAAGGGAGGGAGAAAGAGACGGAGAGAAACAGCAATATATGAGAGACACATCATCAGTTACCTCACACACACCCCTCAACCGGGGACCTGGTCTGAAAAGCAGGCATGTGCCTCAATCAGGAATCAAACTGATGACCTTTCGGTTCACAGGCCAGCACCCAGTCCCCTGAGTCAAACGAGCCAGGGCTGGGCTAGATGTTTCACATACACTAAACTCAGAGATCCATTGATGGCAGGAGCTCAGTACATTTCACAGACAAGAGACAAGATGAGTGGGCCATGCTCAGGAACGCTAGGCAGTGGGCTGGGATTTGTGGAGGGCTGGGGAATAAAAGGGAAAGGTCACAGAAGTGTGGGAAGAAGCCGTGGGCCCTGGCCAGTTTTGTCTCTCAGACCTTTGCCATTGTCCCAAAATTCCCATCCATCTTAACACCAACCCACCCACCACCTAGATTAGAGGAAAAAGAGGCCCTCAGTTGTAAACTCCCCAGTTTACTTCCAGTTTCTTGCTCCCTGAACCAACAGACATGTTCATCGGCACCTGCGCCCTCCCCCGTCAGGCTCAGAGGAGAGGATGTGTGTGTCTCTGCCCCTACCCAAGGTGTGTTCCTCCACCTGTGCTCAGGGCCCCCCTTCTGCTTCCCCAGGCACTGTTCCATTTATTATGCCCCAGATCTGCAATCTCCCATTTCTAATTATTATAGCTCTTAAACCTCAGCATTTAAACATGTTCAAATCTCTCCCACCTTTAAAAAAATGAAGTCAAGTTGATATCAAACAAGCAAAACCAATCTGCCCAGAATCTATGTCCAGTTAATTCCACAGAAATGTGTTGGGCGTCTGTTTTTAGGCTCTTACAGCTGAGGGGAATCCTGATTAGTTAACAAAAAACGATACTACAAGATAATCAGGGCTATGACTCTAGTGAAGCACAAGATGCCATGGGAGTGCATAGAAGAGGCATGTACAGTAGGTAGAAGATAGGGGAGACCAGGGAGGTCTTCCTGGAGGAGGTGATGCCCAAACTAAATCTTGAAGGAAAAATAGAAATTATTTAGGCAAATAACAAGAGAAGAGCTAAACTAGGAAGAGGATCTAGTATATGCAAAAGCATGTATACTATGGCATTATGGTACCTTCTGGAAATGGGTAGTAGTTGGCAATGGGAGCATTGGAAGATTTAGGACTGGTGAGTAGTATCACAAGATTTAGTAGAGAGACAACCCTAGCTGTAATTTAGAGGAGAAATTTAAGGTATAAGTCTGAAGCCAGGAAAAAAGTTCAGATGGAGGAGGAGACTATTTGGTGGAGGAGTAGAGGTGAAATAGTGTGGAATTGAGGCTGGTTCACAAAGAAAAATGAAGACATGAGGCACCAGTGGGCAAGGAAGAAATAGAGGCAAGGAACTGGAGGTCTCAAAGACCTAAAGACCATCGTGCCTGGGAGCAAGAGAGAGAAAGAGCTCGAGAGCTAGAATGCTGTGGTCAGAGACAAGGGGCCGAGATTTCAGTCCAGCTCTCCTGGGAGGTGCGGGCTGTGGCTACTGGAGTGAGTGGCTATGGTAACATGGGGGGTGAGTCATTAGAGTTGAGAAAGGCAAGA